AATGGGGTTTCAGGATCAATTTTTAACAAATGGCCCAGTGGTTCAGAGCAGATATTTAAGTTTGAAAATAACTGAAATAGAACGCACCCTGAAACTGATTCTGTATGTTTTAAATACTAAAAACAGTCATGAAGTTGGGGACCCTCATGTGGATATGACTAACCTCATGCTGATGCTAACTGTAAGAATCTGTTCTCCAAATGCTAACAATAATTCCTTGGGGTTAGCACGATCTAAACGTTTTTACAAAAACTTTTCAGCTGAACACCAGCAGCAACTACTCCTAGCATGAAAGTCAATGTGTTACTTTGTGTGCATAGTGATGGTTCTGCATGCTTCCCACACATGCTGTCCTTCTTCTTATTAGGACATCACCCAGACATCATACCATTCAATAGTGCAGTCAGACACATACCGTTCTTGAATGGCTTTGGAGTATGCCCCAACATTCAAGGTTTTCCTGATCCAATCACAGACATGAGAGCTCTCTCCTGGGCATCGAGGGAAGCCAAAAACACCTGCATTGGTGAAAGACAAATCTCCGTTCCTTCAATAGCAAGTATTAATGCATAAGACACTGTAAGATTCCAAAAACACCGCCAGGCAGACCCTGATCTCCAGGAAGTGAGGCACTGAGAACTCGTCCTGTAACGGGACCCTGCTCGGCCTGGGAGTCGCTTCTCTTGCTGTTTCACTAGATTGGGTTCACTCTCATCTCGCAGGTTTTAGCTTAGAGATGCTGTATCTGACAACTCTATCTGAATAAAGAACAAAAACAAAAAAACCCCACCCTTCTCCTGCCTCCTCCTCCAACAGCATTAAACTTTCACCCTCATCAAAGCCATTCTTTTGAGAACCAGGCAAAGTTCTAAGCACATATGGGCAGCAATTAACTTCATCCTGACATTCCGTGGAAGAGATAGTATTTGTCCCATATTACAGATAAAACCAAAACTGCTGCTATCAACTTGATTCCTTTTCTAGCAACCCAGGAGAGCTGTAGCAGCCCATAAAACTGCCCAGAAGGTTTCCAAGGCTGTAACTCTTTACAGAAGCAAACTGCCACACCTTTCTCCTGCACAGCAGCTAGTGGGTTCCTGAGCAACAGAGTGCTTTAACCACGGTGCCACTAGGGCTCCTTACAGCCATCAGAACAGAGATAGAATTGTAGTCCAAAGACATGCCCTTCCCCAAGAGGATGCCTTTCTGTTTAAGTTAAAAACCTGTTGTACTTTAAAAGCTTTAATTTCCAATATTAATTTAATAGGCAAAAAGAACATACACACCAAGATTCAAAAGGACATTGCCAATGTCAGGAAACAGGAAAACGTGTTAGGTTTTCCTAACTCTTCAATCACCATGTGCACGTGGCTACAACTACCTTACCTCTGGGAAAACGTATCTGTTTACCTTGGAGAGAAGCAGACATCCCCCTACTGTACCACCTGTGTTCAAGTTCTATGGGGCTCTAAATCTGCCCATTCACGAATCCTGGTCACTTTTAGTATCATAAGCTGGCGAAAGAGGATGTTGCCTGACTGGCTGGCTTCTTGTGCTAAGCGAGCTACCTGGATTTCTTTAAATGGTCACATGAGTTAGAACAAAGAACAAAAGAGGCCAAGGTCACCTTGATGTTGTCCCCCAATGGAAATAAGATTGAACATGGGAGGTGATGGGCATCTCTGAGCCACAGCCCTCCTGGAAAGAAAGGGGGAAACAAGGTTACCAGTGCTGACTAAGACATGGAAATGAACCATTCACATCATTACCACTCGACAGAGGAAGTGTGGAAGCCTCAGTGCCCTCCCGAAGCCATCCAACTTCTACAGTTTTCCTCCCATCCGCCAAACACAATTCTCGGTTCTTCACAAAAAAATAAGTTCCATCAAGCTTTTTACATGGACTTCTTTTTTTTTTAAACTGGTCTCCCTCTTAAGATAACTGAGGATCCCAAAAGAATTAAGAGGTGTGAATCTCTTGTAATAAAAAACAAAACAAAATCCATCCCACATCAGTGGTGCTAGGTGATAGAAAGGGACTTACAGAAACTGGCCTCCCTGGGAGAAGCCCATAGCGTTGTAGCCTTCCTGCAATTTGGGATCGTTGGCGAGTGTCTGGCACACTGTTGACACCTGGGAGTTGACATTCAAGAAGAAGCTGTTCTCCACATCCTAAAAGAGGACCCACAGAGATGGGGAAGGTTGGTGAGAATGACCACTGCATGGCCTCTAAGAGGTGAGCCAGCAGGCCTGGGGTCCTCACACAGCCACTCAAAGGAGCTAGTCTATCACTGTGTGATAGCTAAAAATGTAAAGTAAAGCTTTCAAATGTAAAGTCACGCTTTCGGCCTATGAAGTCAGTCAGTCAACTTTTAAACTTTAAAATGTAAAGAAAGAGAGCTGTGAAGGGCCTTACCTCTATCAGTGTCTTCCCAATCTCCAGCGACAAGACATAAATTCCAGGTATTTCCTTCTCCACCATTTTTTTAACAGCACCCATGCTTAAGGGATTACAACAGCTGTCTCCTGCCCAACAAGAACAATGATGGAAACTCATGAGTCGAAGCAACATTATTTGCATCTATAATAGAGAACGGTGTATAGATGGACAGTTTATTGGTGGTGACCAGGGGAGGGTCCTGGTGGTGCAGTGGGCTAGACACTGGACTGCTAACCATAAGGTCAGCAGTTCAAACCCACCACTTGCTCTGAGGGAGTAAGATTAGGTTTTCTGCTCCCATAAAGACTTATAGCCTCGGGAACCCTAATATAGGGTTGCTATGAATCAGAACTGACTCCATGGCAGTGAGATAGGATTTTTTTTCTCACCAAGGTGAAGGGGGGCGCGGCGATAGGTGCCATTATATAAGCAGTGGGTTTCAGTTTATGATGATGGGAAATTTGGTAACAAACATGGGTGATGGTTGTTAGGTGTTATTGAATAGGCTCCAACCCATAGGGACCCTATGCTCAATACAATGAAACACTGCCCGGTCCTGCACCATCCTCACAATTGTTCCTGTGCCCAAGCCCATTGATGGACCACTGTGTGACTCCATCTCATCAAGGGCCTTCCTCTTTTTCACCACCCCTCCACTTTACCAAGCAGATGTCCTTCTCCAGGGACTGGTCTCTCCCGTGCACATGTCCAAAGTATGTGAGACGAAGCTAATCATACTGGTTACACAGTATGATTAACATACACCCACTCCTCACTTATTGACACGGTTAGGTTCCAAAGACCAGGTCCTTGTGTGAAAATCACTGTTATGCAAAACTGGAGGATGACAATGTCAGATCACATAATGATGGATGCCTGCTTTGTTACCTAACTGTCAAACTGCTAAGAATCACGGTCCAGTCAGGTTGACACATAATTTTAACCATCAAAGCCAGCATTACTCTTCACTAGCCCCTGGAGTTTGTTCCTGTCAGACTGTGCTGTGAATGCACAAAAGTCAGGCAGTAGATTTTTTACCATGACAAATTCAAAACATTACAATAAGAACTAGATGATAAATAAGGAGTATCTGACATCACTACATTGTATATGTGAAAATGTTATTATATGCATCTATCCTTACAATAAAAAGATAAATAGAATGGAGATTCAGTAGAAAATGTAAAGCGAAATGGTTGGTTTCCTTGGTCAATTTTATTTTTCAAAATCAAACTCCCTGCCAGTCCTATAGAAGAAAACAGAACTGCCCCTGTGGGTTTATAAGACGGTAAGTGTACTGGAGTAGGAAGCCTCATCTTTCTCTTGTAGAACCACTGGTGACTTTGAATTGCTGACCTTCTGGTTGGCATCCCAATGAGTAACCCACTTATGTGTAGGTAAGATTTAAAAAACGTTTTTTTAAATAAGAGAAATATTGATATGTCAATACACTGCCTTTTATGTTGGTGTGTGGTTTGATGACTAGCAAAGTATTTTCCAAATGAAAATGACACTAGTTGCTTCGAAAATCAGGTTTGTAAAATAACAAGCTTCAGCAAGGCCATTGAGACACCACATTTAGAATGGAAAAATAAGCAGAGATCACTTATCATGCGAACATTGAGGTTAAAGCGTTTCAGGAGCTGATCTATCTTAAGGGCCAGAACTAGAGTGAAGCAAGTAAGAGGCCTAAGGCGGACCCTGAACTTGCACAAACGTGAAAGTGAGCACTTCCTTACAATTTGTACCCTAATCAAAGCTCCTGCCTCTACCTACTTCCATCCCTGTTTCTCTTCCTCTCTCATGGAGCCAGAGCTAAGAACCAGAAGCAACCTGAGTGGCCAGGGGGTAGAAGTAAATTGAGATCGTTTCCCATTTTGAACTTGTTGTTACGTGCCATCGAGTCGCTTCCAGCTGAGAAACCCTGGGTACCACAGAATGAAACACTGCCTGGGTCCTGTAGCATCGTCACCATCGTTGTGAGGCCTGGGACCATTGCTGCAGCCACTGGTCTATCAATCTATCTCCTTGAGGCTCTTTCTTCTTTTTTGCTGACCTACTTTCCTCAAGCATGATGCCCTTCTCGAGGGACTAGTCTCTCCACATAATGTGCCCAAAGGACATGAGACGCAGTCTCTCTCTCACTCACTCACTGCCATCAAATGGATGCCGATGCATGGCAACCCTATGTACAGGACTGTGTTAGTCTGGGTACTTTAGAGAAACAAATCCACAGAAACTCATATTTATAAGAGAGTTTTATATAAAGGTTAAGTGCACATCAAGAAAACACCCCAATCCAGGGTTGCCCAAGCCCACAAATCCAACATTAACCCATATGTCCAACACCAGTCCTCAAAGTCCTCCTCCATCTCACAAAGCACATGCAATGATGCCGACTGCAGGAGTAAAGCCAAACCAGTGGGGTCTCCACATGGCTGCTCCAGCACCCAGGGCTGCATCGGGGTGAGTCCATGTGGCTTCTCCTCAGGGATGTCTTGCAGAAAGTGAGTCTTGCCAGCTAAGCAAGGAACTGGCTAAGGCAGCTGCATCCTGGTCCAACCATCACAAAGCAAGAAACCTGAGAACTAGAAAGGCGAGGCTCATTGAGCCATTTATCGCTCCACCCTTAATTAACCCCACATGTGTTTATTGCCCAGGTTGGCACAATAAACTTTAACTATATCAAGGGTAGAACTATCCTTGTGAGTTTCTGAGACAACTCTTTTCAGGAGTAGAAAGCTCCATCCTTCTCCGAGGGAACAACTGATGGTTTTGAACTGCTAACCTTGCAGATCACAGACCAGCATGAAACCACTGTATCACCGGAGTTCCAGATGAAGTCCAGCCATCCTTGTTTATGAGGAACATTCTGGTTGTATTTCTTGGAAAGAGGTATTCGTACTGCTGGCAGTCCATGACACCGTCAATGTCCTTCTGCCGTCTCCCTTCTTGATTGTGCGGCTTTCATATGCATGTGATATGAATGAAAATCCCATGACTTGGCTCAGGTGCACCTTAGTCCTCAAAGGGACAGCTTTGCTTCTCAACACTTTAAAGAAGGATTTTGGGGTGCGTTAACCAAGGAGATATACACATTGTCTGATTTCTTGATTGCTACTTCATGGGTGTTGATTGTGCGTCCAAGTAAATCTAAGACTTTGGCAATTTCAATATTTTCAAAAATGTTCACAGTAAGCAACACCATGATAAATTGGAAAAAGCTCAAGTATATTCACCCTGCAGGTGATCCGCATCCTGTTTCACAGCTTTAAACATTATCCATCCGCCAAAAGCTCCCAACTTAAATCTCCAAGCTGTTATCTCTGTCCCAGACCCCACACTCCAAATGCCAGTACATCGTTTCCTCGATGTCCAACAAGCATCTCAATCTTACTAGGTCTAAATTCACCCTCTTGATCTTTTCCACATCCCCGGGTTGATCACCAAGGTTTCCCCACTGTGAGGAAATGACAATTTCACCCTTCTCGTTTTTTTCCGTGCCAAACCCATGAAGTCATCTTTGTCTTCTATCTAATGCACTAACAAATCCATCAGTTCCGCCTTCAAGTTATGTCCGGCCTGTGACTCTTTCTCAATGCCTTTGCTGTTAGGATACTGTCACCTCTTGTTGAAATTATCTCATACGTTGAAATTATCTCCTAAGTGCTTCACTTGTCTTCCCGCAACTCTCCATGACTCACTACAATCTCTTCTCCAAGGAGCAACCTAAGTCTGATCATGCCACTCATTGATCAAAGTCACACAAGACCTGTCTCCCTCCACCTCTGGGACCTACACCTGTCCCCTTCTCCTGGTTCCAGCAATGCAGCCAGCCCGACCTGACCTGAATGCTTTCCCTTGTACAAGCCAAGGCTTCCTTATTCCGAGACTTTGCCATTGCTGTTCCTTCTACCAGATATCCACATGTCCTGACCTCTGACATCTACGCCTAATCCCTCCCTACTGTCCTGTTGCCCATTGCACTTCTCACCAGCCTGTCTCTCCCACTGGACAGAAAGCGCCCAAAGAGCAAGCAATCTATTAGTTATTGTATCCCCAGAACTAGTATCTGTTAAAGGAGTGGGCGAACTCTCGGCGCCTAACAAATCCCTGCCGATGGTGAAAGAATAAAAGAATGGAAGCCCTGGTCTTGTAATGAGGTCAATTGCAGGATGCTGCCCTGGACGCCACTGCTGCTGGGACCCAACAAGGCGGCATGCAACCCCCGAGCGCAGCTCGCAGCTCACAGGGAGCTCCCTCGAAAGCCGGCTCCCGTCGCCTGGAAACGCAAGGCAGCGAGCCCCGCAAATGCGAAATCGCCCGCCCCGCCGGGCGCTCCGCGGACCCCCGGAGCCGCACTTCACAGGCGCGAAAACAAAGATGGGAACGGGAGGCGGGGTGATTGAACCCTTCTTTTCACTCACCCATCCCGTGCCAGATCACCAGCGGCAGCGGCGTCGGCGGGCTGCGATGCCCCCGAGCCCAAGCCGCGCAGAACGCGGGCAGGAGAGCGACTGCCAAGAGCCACAAGCAGCCGGGCGAAGCCATCTTGACTCTCAATCACATGAGGGAGGACCGGCTGGTGCGCGACTCTGGC